GATTGTTTGCCAGTTTAGTAACTTGTATAGTCTGTTATTGGTCTTTATCGGATAACCCGCACTTGTATTCCAATTTTTCTACTTAGGACTAGTGGAACAGAACAGCCTATCCCAGAAAAAGCCTGCCATGGGACATCCAAGGCCTTTACCAATCTCGAGGCGTTGAAGATACTCTCGAGGTTCTCCGTTTGCCCTGCTACAATCATGTGACAACCCTTGTATTATTGCCAAAGAAAAAAAGCAAACTATGAGTACTAATAAAGCAGCCAAAGTTGCGGTATGGGGAAGCGGTTGTTTTACAACTGCTGCTGCTGTTGCTGCTGCTGCTACGGTAGTTGTGCAAATGATTCAAGGAGGAGAACATGGACTAACAACAAACAACCTTTGCGCAAATGCTGTAGTTTGGGAAGGCCTTCAATGATCGCTGTTGAGTGAATGGTCTAGAAAATATACTGCTCGATGCATAACAAAGTAAAACTGTGACAGCGGTTAAAAACACTGGAATGGGAATGTAGGGCAGTAGTAGCAGAGAGATTTCATCAAACAAAACATAGTTCAGGGTGTACTTTGCAAACATACATTTTTCAATATTCACATTTTTTTTACTTTTCAAAACAAAATATAGCTCTTCTCTTTCATTATAATCTTTTTTAAAACATTAATTGCATATAACATTTTTTTAATTCATTTTATATATACTTTTTTTGTATCTCTAGCACCCTTGTCTTCAACTAAGGGCTTGCAGAAAAGACAGTCATGCAAACTAGTCATGCTGGTAAACAAAGTTACAAAAATGCATTATCTTTTTTTTTTTTTTGTTTATCTCAGCGTCCGTCCTTCGTCGTGCCAACGTCTTCATAGGCGAGTCTTTCATTGCTCATTATCTTTCAAAAAAGATGCTTGTGGGGAAAATAACTTTGCCCGCTCCTCATAACAAAATATTAACTTCCCATCTTTTTTCCAGGCCTTTGACTCCATTTCATGATGCCAAATCTTCTATTAACACTTGCATCTGATTTTTTTTGTCTTCCTTTCTGGACATTTTCTGCTCAGAAACTTCCTCCGAAGCAACGGATAGGTGATTTGTTTATCAAAATATAGATTTGTTCTCTTTGTACACTTCCACATGTGCTCTACTCTTTGTCCATTTCGTCTCATTTTCCCCTTTGCTTAAGGGCTCCCCTGATGGGCCATCCTTATCTTGACATCGACTTGGCAGTCGTTGGCAGCAAGAGGGGCAAGAGAGAGATGGGGCAGTATTAAACTCTAGATTGTTGTGCCTTATTGGCAGTGTCAGCCTTTGTTTAAGGAGAAGCAGGTATCCGATTGGTCCCTTTCATTAGAATTTCCAGCTAATGTCCAGCTTTATGTGACGTAAAAGTGTCCTTGTGGCAAGGGTCTCCTTTACGTTTAAATTTAGGCAAGCCAATATCCCTCGATATCGAAGAAAGACTGAGATTGTCTCTTAGACTTTTGTCTCCTTGGGTCAGTCTTTTTGCTCCTCCTGTCTCACTGTGTCAGTCAAACATGGGGAAATACATGTAATAGTGAAATGTGCATATAGGAATGGGATGCTAGTGGCAGTTAAATTACTTTTAGAGGAATGTTTTTGTAATAAACAGAGGCATTGGGCAGTGTGAGGGCGAGTACAAGCTCATCCTCAATGGAATATTCCGCCTATTCTACTATACATGACATAAGGTCATTCAGCAAGTGCTTGCTATAGGACCTTTGGTTTTCCATATAGACTTTCGGGCAAGCACATGAGAGATAAAGAGAAGTATTTTTCCACCATTTCCTTATAGAGAATGCTTCAGGTAAATGCCACACGGCCGGTTTGAGCTAATGCTACATGTGCTTTATTTGATCAACTCCATCGTTTTCTTTCAGTACTTGTGAAGAGGGCAGTGTTTCAGTCTGATAGAAGTGAATGGAAGACATAGGTTCAGTGGCAAACAAGCTATACAAGTGCTAAACTTGAACGAGGGGTTATAGAATGAGTGTTAGTAAATACAGACTTCTTATGCACTGTCTGTATTTAGTGTATTTTTTTGGAATGTAAAGTTTTAGCAAGTAAGACCAATCTTTTGTCTCTCATGTACTATAGTATTTTTTTTCTTCACTGTAAAAGGAACCCAAGAGGAAAAATGACATCTATAAGATCCCTTGAATGCATAAATTCCTCTCTCTTCCAAGCGTTGATGGATTGAGTTATTCCCCAGCCAACAAATGCTACAATATGTTAGCAGAGATGCTACATTGTTCATTCAGTCCTTTGTGAAGACAAGTGTTTTTTCAGAAAGTTGCTCAGTTGTTGCTCAGCACTGTAGGCGGTGCGGAGTTGGTCATCATACATGATGGCGAGTATAGTGTTGACAGAGAAATGTCATCTGGAATGTGTAATCAGGAGTCCTTTTCTCCCCCAAGTGCAATGCTCAGTCAGTTTGCCGAGGAGAAAAAAAAGAAGTCAGTCAGGCAGTTTTCAAAAATGTGGTGCGGAGTTCCAAGAGGCTGCTTTGGTAACAACTTGAGGAGCAGACCATGTGATTTAAATTCATGATTAACCTCTGGTGTCTCTCTTGTCCCCCCAAAGATCTCCTTTAAACTGTCCATCCGTGTCACACCTGTAGCTCCCGCCGCAAATTTGTGTTTACCGGTTACTGACTCCTCATTAGAGAGAAGGCGAATGCTAGAAACTTATCACTGTGAAGAAAAGAACAGAAAGCCATTAATACTAACTGCACAGAGATTACACAGACTTTGTAATTAATCATGATCGGGAATGTATAACTTCTAACATTACGTGGAAGCACTTGTATTGGTTTATAGAGGTTCTCAACGAATATAAACCAATCACATATTTGGAATTGGCCAATTACATTGTTTTCCATGTCATGGTGTTACTAACATTAGACAACAGGGATATAGTCAGGGATTACCATTACCTGTAAACTGCTGGTTAACTGTGCATGTCAGAATGAAGTGCACACATTTAAACTGTTAAGACATTTCTAATGCAGCTACAAAAACAGTCAACAAGCAGAAAGTTGGGACATCTTGAAAAACACAATTCAAGAAATGGCGACTGACAGTGTTAGAAAAACAATCGGTACACTGAATGAGACAAACTTCCAGCCAACTGACCAGCACCCCCCACTCTGCCAAACAGGAATTAATTAAGTGCAGATAACTTATCAAATCATGTGATAGGGAGAAGATAACCGGTTAATGTGTATGTGTGACTCAGTGTGTGCAATGTACAGTTCATGGAAAACACATTTTTGACAGATGGACACTCGATGCTATTGAAGGACTTTTTCACATTAAAAAAAAAGTTACACATCAGTTTGACCTAATTTCAAGAGGCTTAACCCTTACACTGAATCTACTTCATGCATCATGCAAACACAGGTGCAAATTCAAGAAGCCGTTATCCAACAACAGAAGTTGAAACATTTTACGGCAAACAATTCCTGTATCACATGTGCTGGCATGATGCATTATTTACCAAGAGATTAAACACTTCTGTTGTGGGCTCAACAGCAAACATCAACCCAATGTAAAACATTATTCTTTATTGCAGACGGATTATGTCTTCACTTGCTCTTCGTTTCACCCTCTTCCTCTGTCAATGTCCTCTGTATATCTGCAGTTTTCCTGAGAAAAGCTGTTAGCAAGACAAGTGCATATGTTCTCGCCTTATAGTGAATGTAAGGGATTTAGTTCATTGAAAGTAAAAGCCCTTATACACACTACAAGCAACCGTGACTTACAGAAAAAAAACAGCGGCTATTAAGCTTATCCAACATGGATGCTAACCCAAAAAGCATAAACGTTGTAGTTGTATTGAATTGTGTTATGTGATATGCCTCTTCGTGCAGATCTTTCTAAGATGACCTTTGCCTGGTGTCAGATGCATAAAAGTGTCATTTCCCAAATATGTCAATATAAAAAGTTGACATATCTTAATGTCTAATTTTAAAAATCCTGTATTTGCCTTCTTCCGTGTCACAATGTAAAAACATTTGCTATTATTGGATACTCAAAATAGTCTTTGTTTGGACACAAACCAGACTTTTCTTTGTTTTTTTCCTGGCAGTATTCACATCCTGAGAGGTGCCAAGGAGCTTTGTCTTGTACAGCATATTATTCACTGGTGTTGTAAATCATAACATCTTATGGATGGATGATACTAGTGGTTAAAATAAATAGTCCAACTTCTTGGTGAACTTTTCTGATCAGTGCAATTTGAGGATTGATCTCTCCAGCCTTACATTAGTTTGCTACAATCCATGATAATTACATAGCACTCATCATTACGTGTATATTTTGGGATGGATGGATATATTTGAAAGTGGATCAAACTGTATTTTTCTCCCCCGCGTTTTACAAATAAAAAGACTGTAGTAACTGTCATTTTCAAACTGCACATGCACCATGCTTTCGGGGTGCATTAGCAAATGCCTTTAAAATGTACATGTGCTTTACATTTATGAACAATAGACTACAGTGCATTCATCCTGTGTAGGACCAGCATGTGGAAGTAAACAAGCCATAACAAAGAATGCACTTAGATGTTTCCTTTGGTATTTCAACTGAATTAATAATAGCTTGCTTTAAATATCATGTGGACACAGTATAGTAAAATAATAAACAAACATACTCTCTTTTTGAAATACACTCCTAGTAAGTACGTATTCATAATCAGAAAGAAAGGTTAGGATCAAACTCTTCATATGATATCCAACGCTGTTAGAATAGATTTTAAATCGTGCTCACAAAATGTACATAGATATATTAATTCCGTATGACTTTAATGTATTCACATGTGTAGATACAGATATGTACATATTCAATAATAACCACTGACCTATTAATAAGCATTGCTTGGAAGGTTTAGCTAGTTAAATCTAGCTAGTTTGAATGAACTCCTAAATTGACATCAGAGCCTACGGTGGCCTCATAGAGGCACTTACAACATCTGCCTGTTTTGTTTACTCAAACAATGTGTATGTCAGAGTTTTCTATGTCATTTGCATTGGCCACATTTATGTGATTTGACCTATGGATTTGACTCTTTAAGCTCAATAGAACCACATTGATGACATTCTTCACATAGATGTTGATACAATACAAAGCAAATATTAACAAACACAGTAGATCTATATCCATAAATGTTAAAGTTGTGTGTGCATGTTATTTAACTCACCCATTCTCAGTCAATTGTGGCATTAAAGAAAAGCGTCTAACTGCAGATATATAACAAGGAAATACATTTTCCTTCAGTGCAGAAAAATGTACATTCCAAATAAAGTGTTACCAGTATAAGTCAGAGTATCGCAACATCCACATTGTGGAGTAATTGTAACGTTATACAGTATGCATGTGCGCTTAAAAGGTTTCATGAGGTTTTGTGCAATGACAGAAGTGATGTTAGCAATAATGACGGACCAAGATTCAGGTTTGCTGATGTGGACTAAGATGAGCTTTGAGTGCCGAGGTCAATCGACTTGTAGTCATTACATGTTCACATGAATTAAAAATGTACTATCCCAGAGTTTCCCTACCTTTGCTCAGTTCAGGGTAACAACATACATTTGTGAGCTAAAAACGCTCAGATTCACTTGAGAAACAAGACCCTGCATGCTGTTTTAGATATCTTCAGACGACACTAAATTATTGAATTTTTTCGACATCATAATGGTGAAATGTAACAGTATTGAGAGTAAGCATGACAGTATGCAATATGAGTCTGAAAATATGTGCCTTCAAAAACCCGTATCCGACTACTAACAGTGACTGATCGATATGTGAATGAGACAAAACAACTTTTACAAACATCTCAAACTCCAGTCAACAGATACAAGCAAAACATTCAAGTGATGTCATAACTATCACCCTGAATCATAATACTGCATATCTAAGTTCTCAAAGTTGAGGGGTCTGGAAGCACGTTGATTTTTAGACAGAATGGGAATGGGGAATATAGATTATGACTCTAAACACGCAACTCCTCTCCCTTCACATCTGCAGAAGTTTCGTTCCCCTCGTGAAATCAGTCCTACTACATTTCTGTTTGTTAAGGAACGAGTTAAATACAACATTGCATCTTTTTCTGACAAATGTTTTTCTAGACAATCAGTGGTACAGAAAGTTCATTCCTTACAATGAAATACACAATACCAGTTCAAGTGAAAAAAATATAAAACTGTTACAAAACGTAAACAATTAAAAATGGCAGTAACAACATCAAAACGTTTACAGGACCATTAAGACCACATTGATTTGAAATAAAACAAGACAAAAGGCTCATGATGTCATTGTAATACTTCTCAGAACAGATACATCAAAGTAGACTGCCTTCAAAGTCTGTGCAAGATTAAAAATAGATCTGCATATTTACATATGTATGTGCACAGCATGGTTTCCAGCTTTAAAACAATATTGCATGTTTATTGCATAAGTGAATGTCTTTCTTTTTGCTCAACTTTAAACATAAGTTCAACTTATTTCATGGGAAGTTTGCAGTCCGAGGGTGGAGCTCAGTTATAAAAATAAAAGCTATAAATTGCCTAATAAAATATAGACTTAGGGGAATGGTATTTTGTAACCACTGTGATATATATTTTTTAAATATAACAAACATATTGCTTTTTAATTTATATTTTCTTTAGACAAAATAAACCAAATAAATGGAAAAAATATATAAAATAAAACAGATGAAGAAGCAAAATAGATATTTTTTTAATTTAGATATACGTGTGATCGGGTATTTCTCACTTGTTAAATCTATACGGTGTGTGTATTATCCAACATGCAGGCTTCAGAGGTTAATAAATTAACACTGAATGTTAGTAAAGTGCTTGTATTTGTTCTGAGTATATCATTAATTATGTAGTCACTTGCACATGACTTTATAAGTATATTTGTTCTACTTTGTTTATTGCGATAAGTAGTTTTTTGAATACATTGCACTTAGATTTCTTTGAAAAATGGTAGGCCTACATACAGTATAAGTACATTTACATAAGTGTCCTGATTAGCATTTCTTCAAGGGTCGACATTTACTATCATTAAATAGATTATTAACCGAGGATGTGATGGCTTAATTGTGCTATTTTGCCAAAGACACTGGCAGCTCTACTCGTGAGGTCCTCAGCTGCAACAGAATATATAATTTACCCCAGTTTCAAACCCTAATAACACACTAAACTATGCCTTATTACTCCTCAATTTCCTTTATCAGTGAAGAACAAACTGGGCCGATAATCTTTTATTGGCTAGTTAAGTCGTATGGTTTTGCTAACAAGCAGCATTGCATATAAGCAAGCTATGTGGTCAGAAAACTATTGCACATAAACAAAGAAAACGCTTCTTTTAGTGTTTTCTATTGACTGTAAGATATCCCCACCTCCCTTATTAAACTAAACCTGTCCCGTTCCCAACAACTAACCCTAACCCTAACCCTAACCCTAACCCTAAACCTAAACCTAACTCGTGGTCCATCTATATATCCGCCTATATATTATTGAGAAAATAAATAAAACATTTAAGTAATGTATTGTTCATATATATTTTTAGGGGCATATCATGGAATAAGTATTTTTATTTTGGAATATGATTGTTATAATTGCATATGATGCATAGGATGATGATGATATAAAAAGGGATTAGATAACATGCGTGCAACTGCAGGAAGTGGCTGAATAGACCTTTATCTGTACACTGGAAGCAATTGCATATATGGAATGTAAAAAATAAATTATAATTTAGGGCTACATCATTTTGATAGTTCTTATGGTACAATATTTCTTTTTATTTAAGCTCAGTTTTTCTTCCTTTTCTCTTTGATATTTCGCTTTGCTGTGTAAAATAGCAACATAAAGTGATGTTACGATGATGAGATAGAAAATGAAATGACTGAGACCTGTAGAAGCCGAGTCTGTCTTTTAGAGAGACTTACCAAATTGATGTCTACACTGTACAAACATCAATATTCACATAAGACAGAAAGTAGAAAACTTTTAAACATCAATCTATAAATGTTTTTTTTTCTTTGGCTAAATAAAGTTTTTTATTTCTCTGGACAGTGTTTGCTTTTAGTTTGGTCCAGAACATTTAAAAATTGAGTCCATCTACACATTTAATCCTACATTTAAAAATGTAACCGTGCACGTTTTCTTTCTTTTTTTTAACTCATACTATTTTACTTACTAACCGATCCAAATATCCATTTTAGCATATCTTCTAATAATTCAAAAATATCAATGTAGCCTTGAAGCTAGAATTTGTACTTGACCCCATCAGCTAACCTGACCATCATAAACCAAAAGATTCACAAGACAAGGGGTCTCTCTTTCTACATTCAACTTCCTCTTTTCTTATTGCTATCTTTATGCACAGTGTACAATCCAAATGGAGGCGATCAGTCAGCAGCTAATCCACCGCTAGCATCCAATCGTTAACATCCTTTTTTTTTTGCTACAAAATGGAGGGGATTGGGGAGCGACAGCGGCGCAGGGGTCCCGGAGCCTCGTAGTTTTCAAAAGGGGGGCTAGTGATGGGAGCGAGCCGCAGTGAAGACCCCGCCATTCCCGATATGTTAGAAAGACTGCGAGATTTCTCGTAGCCTGTTGCAATTTTGAGAAACCGATTGATTCATTAGTTTATATTTTGTGTTTGGAAATGATAAGCAAATAAAATACAATAAATAATGGTTAAAGGTTTGATCATTTTGACAGATTTTAAATATATGTTTTTTTAAGGTTACATAGTATTAAAACATGAGGTTTAAGATGTTATCAGAAGAAAAATAAGAAATTGTAAGGAAGCACATAAGTGGAGAGAATAAATTAAGGATAAGAAAATGTTATGACAACATAAAGACATATAAAGGACAGACAAGGACACACACAGACAAGACAAGACAAAACAAGAAAATGCGAGTTATGATATGTCTTTTTTTTCCAAAACAGAAAAGCAAAATATTATTTGATAGTAACAGATTTAACACCTTAAACAGGCTTGTTGAATAAAGCACCCGACATTTACAACTTGAAGCATAATGTGCAATGTGCAGGTGATTTAGACATCGTTTTTTGCCACAGTTATAGAGTAAAACACAAACACGAGAAGTAAATACTCTGATATCACTGATACAGCGTAGTCGTTGACCACATGAAGCTTAAGGGGAAAAAGCTCAAGGATACAGCACCAATGGAATAACACTTTCCTTTGATTTTGCTTCAGAAACAGCCAGATTAGTATGAGCTTTAGTTTCATTTAAACTTCAAATGGCCAAAATAAAAATGTCCTCCCTGCAACATTTAAAAACACTTCCTATCCGTAGGTTTATCACCTTGTAGTGTAAACATTTTGTTTACAGTGGGAAATGACACACGGTCCACTAAATACATGGTAATTTCACCATTTTACAAATAAATGTATCTAAGATATAACAGATTTTCCATTGTGTCCTTTCCCGCTATATATCTGGTGTGTAACACAGCATGCATATGTTAAACTCCCTCTGTAGGAAGCGTCCACAGAGGAGACAGTGTTGTGCTGACGGAGTGTTGTTGCATCAGGTGACGTTAAAAAAAGCACCATTGGTAGGAAGCAGTTACTCCGCCCTAACAATGGCGACCTGACCCAAAATGGATGGAGTTTTACAGTTTCTGTGAGGAACAAGTTACATTATGTTGTCAGCAATTCTGGAGAAGGCTTGTTGACATTTGAACCCAAGATTATCCATCCCTTTAACTCCAACTGCTTCTTTCTTTATTCAACATGCATGTGTACCAGACCTTTGTTTTACACAAAAAAACGATTACTGGCCAACTATTAGCACATTTGACCAAATTTGTATGAGATTAGAATTGCTGACTCCACTTTTAATAAAGTGCAGTTACACTATATTGCTTACAGATAAAGTGATATGTTTGTGAAACTCCAACCATCACTAGGCCACAGTTAGACAACAGAGAACACCCATTGGTACAGAATGACGCCCTTTGTGCCTTCCTGCAGTACTGAAAGAAAAAGTATATCGTGGTGCACCGTAGCTACCACTCCACCACTCTAGATTATGCATCATTTGAGCCAACCATAAATAAAAGTCCTTTTTTTATTCTGACTAACTCAGGCACATTAGTCTGATGGCAACTCAGTGAAATATTGATGATGCATTTTCACCGGGTTTCTCACAGATGTCTGAGAAGCTGTCTGGTCAATCTGTGGTGGGGCCTCAATCTCAAGTTTCAGTCCAAAAGTATTTTGTCCAAACCACCCAAATGTTTCCAGACAAATAGTCAGGTTGCATCAAATGGCAGCCATTGTTGTGATGCTGAATCAGCGTCGAGGAGGGACAGAAAAAACCCAACCATAGCAGAACTACAACAATGCTGCAATTCAATGCAGACCTTCTTTTTTTATTTGTAAAGGTAGTTATTGTAAATATGACATTAAAATTATCTGGTAAACCTTCACCTAACAACCTAACTGAATAGCTAATTCAAGTTTTTATACTATTTATGATCTGCATTTATTTTCAATGGCCTTTGAATGTATTCCATGCATTCAGTCATTAGCCCTTTATGTTATAGTTTTAATTGTTAATGGCGCACTTCACCATTGCTGTGCTGGCTTCACATTGCATTCACACGAAGAAGGGATTCACAGGAAGCAATGTACGCATGAAATCCATCTTAATTTCTTCTAATTTGAATATGTAGTTTACTGTATGCTCTATGTCACAGAGTCAGAGCTAAGCACTAACACCTTTTTTCTGCTAATGCAAAAAGACTTCTGCTCTTTTTCACAAAAAAAGCATTTTAGATATATTACATTTCAAAGGATAAAGATATAACTATGATATAAAATAGACAACTTAAATGCTTATTTACTTGGTGTTTATTAATTTAACAGTTATAGTGATGCCCGAACAGCTCATATATGTTTTAATTCAGCTGAAATGATAAGTTAACGGGTTTAGTATTAAACAATTATTATGGTTTACCTCTGTGCTTCTTTGATTAATTAATAATGACGAGTGCCCTACAGATTTGAAGTATTCATTTCGGGAATTATTAGAACTAAAGTTGGGAAGCCCGTTGTTGAAGTTACAACAAACGGATTTGATTTTACTTTGAAATTCCTTTAGATATATTCTTTGTGCTAAAATTAGCGTGCAGGGCGAAGTGAGAAACAATGAAGGGAATGACACAGTGCGATCAACAGACTACAAACATGTTTCATATTCTTTAACCAAAATAAGATGATAAGGTGGCAGTATTTCATTCTGTCACTTTTTTAAATGTATTTGAACCATTTAATTGGCTATTTTTAGTCTGAAACAGAGCATTTAAAACACTTGTCAAGTGTGATATAAGTAAAATATGCATAAGAGAAATAAAGAGTCCCTATAAGTTGATCAGATGACGGTGAAACTGATGAAAATGTAACAATAACATGGTTCTGATGAATTTAAGATGTACTCAAGTGACCCGTTTAGCTGGCTAATTAACACATTCTTTAAGACGGAGATTTTTTTTCATGCAGGCCAATAATAAATCTGATAAAGTTAATCATGTCTGAGCCACTGCAGTCTGTCACGGTCTACCAGCTTCCTCCTCACGGTGCTAAGTACTGTATTTACAACATCTACAGGGCTTTGTGCTCTGGGATCCTCCACCGGGGGAAATACTGAGTGGGCCTGTCACTGTTCTTCAGTGATGACATAATTCCTGCCCAAAGTCACACTTCATTTACACTACGGAGGCAGTATGTACCTACCTACAGTCACTCTTTAGTTACACTTGCACTGCAGTGGCGGCCTGGGGATGGGATGGAGAATGAGTGTTAATCACAGGAGGGAAATGTAATGGAGACACAGAGGAACAGAGGGAGGAGGAACTGCAAATATTCAAGGAAATGATCATGTAAAATAAACTGAGAACTTCTATCTTGTATGTATGGAGAAGGCTGAGAGCTACTTGACTTCTCATATTACGTAATTCACATGTTCTATAGTTTCATGAGCGTGTGCTTGCTGTGGATATGCTGAGTGTTCAAGAGCTATTCTTGGCACCGCCCCATGCTGTTTCATTCGTACGTGGGATCAATTGCCTGTAAAAGATGGTGTGGTCTCCTGTTATCCAATATTACATATCCATACAGTGTGGATGTGTCTTTTGGGAAAACTAGAGGACATGCAACTGTATCCTTCATCCTCTTGTTAGTAGGTTATACATACCAACAGTATATGTGTCTGCTGCAATCATTAAAGCTCAAATCCACTTAATATTTCATATCTATTTATACACTTCTCCGGCATATATATGAATATTGATGTAGATATGATATACTTTTATTAATCCCCGTGGGGAAATGGTTTCTCTGCATTTGACCCATCCTAGTGTTAGGAGCAGTGTGCTGCCATTTGGAACGGTGCCCGGGGAGCAGTGGAGGGAACGGTGCCTTGCTCAGGGACACCTCGGTAGCACTTGGTCTTGAACTGGTGACCTTCCAGTTGCCAAGCCAAGTCCCTATGGACTTCGCCACCACCGCCCTAATGTATGTACAGTATGTAGTCTACGTATACACTTTCTGTATTGTGTGTTTTTTCTCAGGCTCAGAAAAAAAGAATATTTGCAGATTGTTGTTAAGACATGCAAGACAATGTAGGAGAAGTTGTACAAACCAATTACAATGACAGAGAGGAGGACAGTGACTTGTTTTCACACATAAAGAGGATATGGAGTTAAACTTAGCCTGCTTTATTTAGTTGTAGCCTGTTGCACTGAGCCACATAATAATGTCTTTAAAAGAAAGTGGCCGAGCACAATGCCTGTGCCTGAGCTTAAGGCATAAACAACAATATGTTGTGACCAATAAGTAAATATTATAAAACAGTTAGTCCCATAAAATAATTACAGCCACAATTAATATCATGATTATGAAAGGATTGGGTAATGGAGGGATGGAAAGGGGATTGAGATCGAATGAGCTTTTGCTAAATATAGCAGCTATTTTTTTTTATTTTTTTTTATTATTTTATTAATAGATTTAGTATTTGTTAAACCTTAACATAGCACATTTTGAGCATCACTTATGTGGGTTCATCCTATTCTTGAGGCAGACGGTTTGAATTTGGTTAGAAAAATACATTCATATTGTCTAAATAATCCTTGGAAATGTCCTAAAGATATGAGATTAGTCCCATTTTTATGCTAATTAATTGTACCGTATTGTTGGAAATTTCCTTTATCAATCCAATTGAGAGAAGTGAGATAGTTGGTGAAAATAAAACTCAAAGCAGAATACAGGAAGAACAGAGGGGAAGTCAAAACATCAAACAACAAAACACAGTTGTAAAAAAACTCAAAGACATTGAGAGAAAAATAAAATATCAAAACAAACAGCAAAATAATAATTATTTCACAAATAAATATAACTAAATCCTAGACGCATTGAAAAGATAAACCACACACAACACAAAGCCCTACAAAAACATAAAACTCCACAGAAATACTTAATAAAAGATGTACACAACATGTTGGAAACAGAAGTAAATCAGCACAAAAGCTCAATAAATAAAAGAAAAAAACAACTTGTACACAAATATATTGAGGAACAGAGGAGAGGAGGGGGAGAGAGAGACAGAGTGAGATCCTTAAGGTCTCGAGGAGGGAGTGGGCAATCACAGGGGAGATTGACCGTTTGACCTCAGTGAGACATGCATATTGCATTGGCTCAGGAAATCAAATGGCCAACAATCAAAGCGAAGAAACTTAAAAGCTTAAGCTGGCAAAGACATCTTATGCGTGTGTCCACGAAATAAATCACAATTGAAGCACACAAGAATTACTTTTAGACAGCGTGAGAATCCCTCTTTAAACACAAGGAGAAGGTTTGGGTCGACCATTTTGCTAATTTTCTAAATGTTAAGAACTGTTTGGCTTCCCTTTAATTACAAATTTGTTGTAACCAATTGTTAATCTTCTTAGTTTGAGCCATTAAAATGTATGAATGTAGCCAAAGATGCATTTACACACACACCGGGAAAATCAGGTTTCAGAGTGGTCAAACAGATCAAATGTCTCTGGTATTTACTGTAAGCACCATAAGGCTCATAATATTATCGATTACAGATCTATTACAGTGAATCACAGTGTACAACCCTAAAGCTCCATCTAGCAGCTTCAGCGCTGATTTTTTTTAAACTCCTGATTTGCTTTAAAGAGGGATTTTGTAGAACTTTAATCGCATTAAATACATAAGAATCACTGAAACTGAAGCAATGTCAGGGACCTGTAAGTGTCGGACAGCTCGAAGCTTTCTTACCTTGGACAGCATGTATTTTCAAATCTGTCTTAGCATTTGTCTGATCATTAAGTGTTTCAGTCACATAGTGCAGCTCATAATCCTTTTGATTTCTATCCAGGTGTATAAATATACAAAAAGGTCCCGAACTTTGGACTACACTAGGCACTGAAAGTACATATATGTTCGAGGGAATAGTATCTCAGATCCATGACACGCTCAAAACACACTATGTTTGGCTTGGTTCATAAAATAAAATGTTTAAAAGTTTGTGTTAAGCGTGCCATGTTTCAAGAGGTACTAACCCTTGACCCAGATGTTCCACTGACCCCAGTGACCTTTAGCCTTGGATATATGATTGTCATAAAACACTGCACAGGAAGCTATTAAGGCTCGCCAATTGATTCTACATACAATACGGCATATGTACTTGTATCTACGCACACATTTAAGCACAAAATGTACTCAAGCACAGAATAAGTGCCATAACCTGAGGAGTAACCTTTGCACAATGTACCTATGTAAATATAACACTGTAGAACGAGTGTGTTTAAACTTTTATAAATTGCAGTGAGTGCTTTTGTTTGCCAAGGTGGAGGTCCGTGGGGTAGGGAGTAACACGGATACACACAGTAGAAGGGGAAAACAAAATTAAGCCACACACCACGACACAAACACAACACTCAGACGGCATTGAGAGGACAGAGACACAGTGTATAACACGTAAGAATGAAAAAGCCCACATACACACGCGTGATATGACACAACCTGAAGAGAGAGACAACAACAACACAGAGGCACATCAGACAACAACGTGACCCGCTGTTCCCGTTCAATCTTCTTCAGTGTTATGTTTTATTATTAGTTATTGACACAGGACACGGGTTCTTTTCCCTGAAGCTGCTGGGTGTATTTGCACATGGACACATTACTGCACTATTATTTGTATGCAGGTTGTGCGCCCTCACACAGACACACATGTTTGCGCACACTTCTCGTTGTGGGTGTATCACAGAGCAATCCCATTTTCTTTCAATTTTTTTTTTTACATATTGCACATTGTTCATCGGATTGTTGCTGAGGTAGGACATAAGCGGTGTTCAGGTTTTATCGGATGAAAATGAGCCCCTAAAATTCCCCCCAAAACCTTTTCGAACAGATTTAAGCTCTAACTTACATTAGGTTAAACTGTTAGTGACATTCTCCAAATGTAAATCTGACAGCACACTCTCAAGACTTTTCAAGGGTGACACTTCAAACCCCACTGAACATGTAGACACAACAATGTGGATGTGGTGGTGTATCTGTGATCTGACGTCATGCTTAGTGTGTGAAGCTACGTCTGTGTTGAAGTGCGTGCTGTACTGGTGTAGTAAGTAGTAAGTGTAAAACATGCTACAGTATGTGTTTGAGAGCCAGATTTAAAGTCTCCTATGTTTTCAGTCAAAAGTTGACAAAGCTACGGGCTCGTTTTTAAGCTTATCTTTTCTTCAGTGTTACCTCTGGTCTACGGTTTGATCCAGGAGGAGGTGGAGTTTGCATTGAGGTCCTGCGTTAACAGAGACCCTTCCATCTTATACCAATCGTCAGTCAGAGGGGAGTCTGGGCTGGGTGCCAGGGCTGTGGAGTCTAGTTTGTTGTCAACAAGGGGGTGTTGGAAGTTTGGAGGGAGTGTGAGGGAGTGTTTTGGTGCAGGTTGGCGGCAGTGGTGGTGATTGGATTGCAGTAGTAAATGAATAAAGGTGTCAGGTTTATCATGAGCACAAAGGTAATGCACATGGGGTAAAACAAACAAAAAGGTTAGGAGTTAGGGTGTAGCAAAAAGGAAAAGAAGGAGGGGAATTGTGGGCATGGGATTTAATATTGGGCAGAGGAGTAGGGGGGTTCAGGAGGGAGGATGTGCACCAGGTTAGGGAGGGGAAGGAAAGGAGGGAGAGGGAAGGAAAGGAGGGAGAGGGAAGGAAAGGAGGGAGAGGGTTGGGGAAAAATAAGGCAGGAGAGAGAGAGAGAAACAGAATTGACGAGAGAAAATTAATGCATGGTCAACTTACTGAGTCCAGAAGACAGAGAAAGATCTAGATTGTTCATGAATGAGCACGAATGAAGGGAACAGAATACACACACACTATGGAGAGATGGAAGACATGACTGAGTAGAAGAGAAACTAAAAGGAGAGAAGTAGAGGGACAGATAATCTTGTCTGACTGATGAAATAAAATATGATACCACGCAGTGATGGAAACACAATCAACATGAATGTGAAGAGGTGGAAACAGTAGAAGCAGAGCAGAAGACGTGTGTATGTGTTGTGTGACTGCATGAGTGTGTGTGTGCTGTAATGGAGAGCTATCAGTAATTGAGGCATCCAAAGTGTGCTTTTCTTCCAACCCACCTTCTCTAAATGTTTGTATCTTATATACAGTAGCCTGTATTAGCATCAGCTGCACTATGAATGTATATTATATACATGTTTGCAGTATGTGGTGCCTGGCATCTTGCTGTGTGGATCTGTTTACGTAAGATTTGCATGTTTTCGTATTCGTCTCCTGGTGTGAAACGTACCTTTCCGCACATTCCCATCTGTGGCACGGAATTCCCTGGTGTTGAGCAGGAAGCAGGCACGGTCCTGCTGGTAGCGTTCCCGGGTCGGCCCTTGCCCAATGGGACTCCTCTCGTCTGGGCTCAGCACCTGGTCGATGGTGGGACAGTCCTCGTTAGCTAGCGCGGCCGAGGCTGCGTCGCCGTTCTGCTTGGCATCTAGAGAACAGGTGGAAGAAAAATCACATACAGGATCTTCATATGGGAGTTTTATGGGGAAACCATAGAGAAGAGCATAGTGTGTCTTACAGGATGCCACACAGTAAAAATACTCTGTTACCAATGAAAGTCCTGCATTTGAAGTCATCGCTTGAGTTAAAGTGAGTAACTATACTTAGCTAAATTTACTTTAAGCATTAAATGTAAAATGACCCAATGCAGAAAAATAAAAAACTCAATTTTTTTTTAAATAAATCAAAAGAAAATAAATGTCAAACCAATACATTTTTTCTTATATTTGCCAAATTGGGTATTGGTCTTGTGTAAACTGTGGACTAACCTGTCATCAATGAGCATTTTCTAAATAATTTGTTAGGAAAATAGTAACAGCAACAATAATGTACACATTTGCTTGATTGTATATGTTTCCCATCACGCTAAATTGAATCTTTAGGTGTGATATTACTGTAATTCAGCGTGTGTTCTATTGACAAAACAGTAACTTAAGCAATCACTACATGTGTTTACAGTAGGGCTGCACATCGGTAAATCATCAAGCATGTCTAGTGGTAATTAATGTCCATTAATGATTGGGAATGCTAACTGTAGTAACCCACACGTTCACAGAGGCCTTACTATAAAATATGTTACTAGCACTCTTGGAGCCAGTTGTCAAATCTTTGAGTAATACAACTTCCTACTTAAAAAATCTACTGACACAGCCTACAGGAAACCTTTTTAGTCTGGAGGGAAGCCAGGCAGACGGGAGGTAGTAAAAGCACTGATGAAACCAATATTTTCTGTCTCACTGATGACTAAGGCGGTAAAGTAATGCATGTAAAGAGCAAACAAAGCGTTAAATGACCTCCTGATTTTACTGCTAATGCCAGAAAGAATATGTGCAGTCAGCCCAAATTGAGATGCATTAAGCCGTTTTATTGGATAATTGAGTTCATTTTGCTTCAAGTGTTTGTTCTTCACTGACAGATGGGTGCCTTAAGGCCATTTTGGACCAACTAGTTTATCATCAATAACACATGAGTTCTGATGGGCCAGTGATTCCTCTGGGGCGGATCCAAAATCAACTATGCATCCCTTCTTGATAGTACTCTCGCTCGGTCTCTTGCACTCTATCCTTCACTGAACCCCTAAAATGGTCACTCTGCATTCCTAAAACCATCATGAGTAAAATATTTCCCTTGAAACAAGCAAGCCAGATTTCATTGTAAAAGATATTTAAAATAAAAAGACTTAAAGTAAAATAAAAAATATCTCACCTCTGTTACTCTCAATCATTTCTTCTTGGGCAAGAGGACAGTCACCCCCCATGCCTCCAGACTCCATCACTCCACCAAGGACATTTCCCAAGAGCCTTTGCGGTGATGCAGTCGCCATAGCCAGGGCATCTGGTTTGCAGTAGTTGGGGGAGCCTGGTTGTGGTGCTCTTGGGATATGTTTGTTCTTCTTTTTGGGCAGCTTTTGTTTTGCCATAGCCAGAGAGTAGTACATGCCAAAGTTGTTGACAATAACAGGCACAGGCATGGCAATGGTCAGCACACCAGCCAAGGCACACAGGGCGCCCACCAGCATCCCTGACCACGTCTCCGGGTACATATCTCCATAGCCCAGCGTGGTCATGGTCACAACGGCCCACCAAAACCCAATGGGAATGTTCTTGAAGGCGGTGTGGGCGCAGGCGGTTGGGTCGTCTGGGTCTGCGCCAATCCGCTCAGCATAGTAGATCATCGTGGCGAAGATGAGGACACCGAGGGCTAAGAAGATGATCAGCAGGAGGAACTCGTTGGTGCTGGCGCGCAGGGTGTGGCCCAGGACACGGAGACCCACAAAGTGGCGGGTCAGCTTGAAGATTCGTAGGATTCGGACAAACCTGACGACTCGTAGGAACCCCAGGACATCCTTGGCAGCTTTGGAGGACAGACCGCTCAGGCCCACCTCCAGATAGAAAGGCAGGATGGCGATGAAATCGATGATGTTGAGGCTGCTCTTGAAGAACTCAAGCTTGTCTGGGCAGAAGGTGACTCGCAGAATGACCTCAATGGTGAACCAGATGACGCACACGCCCTCCACGTATGTCAACCAGCTGTCGGTCACCACCTCGTATACAATCTCCTCCGTGGTTATGTTGCCCACCGTGACGTTCTCCGTCTTCTTCAGGATGGTGTTGAAGGCCTCATGTGTCTCCATGCAGAAAGTGGAGATGGAGATGAGGATGAAGAACAGGGAGCCAAATGCCACATACTGGAAGAAATAAAGAAATCAGCAAACAAAATGAAATGATAGGAAGAGAAAGCAGAAAAAGGGAAGCAAGCAGAAGGAGAAAGAGTCAGTTGCAAATCAAGAACATTTGGCAAGGCAAAGAGGATAAAGAGAAGCATAGACAAAAATACCTAAAGACAACAGCAGAGACAAACAACTGGTGGATGTGCGACCCTCCTACAGGCACACATGCTACATTCTATACTATTTACAGAAAACTGCTATTTCTCATGTTGTAATGGTCATCTATGTTGAGGTCTTCCCAAAACTTTACACCCATTCTTGATTTTTTACCAACCACAGGGCATGCAGATTTGCCCTGAAAAGGACCTTGGCATAATTTAACCCATTGTGATCAAAGTCCAAAGATAATCAGCCTGATCAAATGATATCTGACAGTCATAAATGATTGTGATGTAGGATGAAGCTATGAAAATACATGTGCTGTCAGTCTAATGTCTCATCGTGTGCCATGTGAAATTATTATAAATTAATCCAATTATTAATAGTACTATGTGTTTCATTTTAAAATGATCAACTTATTCTCATATTAGCATACTCTGAAAATATAAATAACCATGCCACATACTGTTGGGTTAATAATTAGAGCACTGACCCCTATTAAAGAAAATGGTCTGACCCGAAAATGTAGGGTCTCAGCTCAGATTTCTAAGGCAATAAAGATTTTTTAAAACATGAAATAGGAAGAAAAATGCTTAACAAAAGGAGAGAACATCGCAATAAATGAATGTTAATCCTGAATCCAAAACAGAAAATAAAAAATGGGTTTATAAATGAATAGAATGATACTACTAACTTATCTGTGGTACTCTGCTAGAGAGGACACAGGAGAAGATGGAGGGATGACAAGGGGGAGAAACCTGTTAGGATAGGATCAATGAATAACTGATCATGTGTGTGCTATAGTAGTAAACAAGAGAGGAATACCACACATCAATCCCAGAGCACATTGTGTGGTCCATGTTGTAAAATGAATTGTGCGAAGGTAGGAGACATTCATAAAACATACATGTGTTTCCAGTCTTACAGTACGATGTCAGACCCTGAATAAGAGCCATTGAACTATGCAGGTTATTTGAATATTAAGAAAAACGTGTACGACGCTGTCGTTTCACTACATGCAGTCTCTCCTCCTGCCCCTTCCCTTCATTGATGGTCTGAGTAGCATTTTATTTTCTGAAATGTGTTGATTTTCCTCCTGATAATCTGAAATGTGGGGTTTAGCAAAATACATTTAAACAACGTTTCATGTTTGAAAGTCGTGAATAATCCAAACAAATTGAGGCATTACATCTATATAACTGCAGAAATAAATAATCTATCCACCTCCAATCGTAGGAGTCATTTCATTAATGTGCTTAGGAGATCAAGAATTTTGTGTCAAAGCTTTTAAATATCTTCGTTGTAAATTGTAAAGCTTATGCTGCCTTCGCCAATGTACAGTTATTGTAACCGAATAAAGGAAACAAATAATATTGAAGGTCCTGTTTCAGAGTCAATGTTTTAATTGGGATGCCTCTAACCCCCTCCATATAGTAGGAGTATGGTTTTAGTAAATCTTCTACAAGTGGCATCAATTTGATACTATGTCTTACAGCTACTGTATACGTTCGCTTATCTAATTTAAAAAGCCTCTCCTCTGTGGTAAATCATCGGGACAGAGTACAACAAAATAAGCTGTTGTATTCTAAATGACTTTTAGGTTCGTTTGCTTTTTCAGAGCTCAAAGACAATTTTCCTTAGCATTGACCATCAGTGTGATCTTTTCCCAGGTTATTATTCTACCGTAGCCCCTTTACTTGCCATCTCATGAGAGCAGTTTGATAACACCAGTGTGTGTATGAAAACAGCACAGTTTCTCCATCTGTTACAAGCCCTGCAGTGTATTTATAGAAGCATAACTTTGAGCTTTATCAAATGAATAATAAAACAGACATGGCCTCAAGAGCAAAAGAGAAAGGTAATTCATACTTGAGTGGCACCCATATATAAGAAGCCTGAGTGCCTTCAGTGTATAATGCGTGTCTGTCAATGTGTATTTTCGACGTTATGCACTTAAGCAATATCAAACACAACATACTTAAAGCCTTAAACTAAGCAAATGAAACAGTTTAGGTTATTTTTTCTGAAGAAGGTCTCGCTTTTCTTTCTCTCAGCTTTCCTTTGAGTTGAAAATTGGATGAGTGTCTACACATTTGTTCTCCAAGTGCCTTCATGACAGAAATGGACTAAGTAGAAGACTCTGAGGCGCCGCATTTATTGAGGAGATTAGTTGACGAGCGTTTAGCCAAAGAAGTGACCTTCCAGGAAAGTCAGTGTGTAGTGTAAGTCAATATCCAATGTGTATAAACGTATAGGTTGTTTTAGTATCTATATAAGGTGCAATTAAAACACAAAAATTACAACATCTTTTCAAGGACTACCTCTGTAAACTGGACAGTTTGAAAACGTACATTATCAGGTTGCTCCAGTTTTTTCCTTTACCCTCAATAACCCCAAATCTCTCCCGCCTTTTTCCCTGTCCTTCTCTGTCTACGTTATGTAGACACTAGATGGTGTCTGACCTACTTTCTCAGACTGCAGGGCTCTTCCCCTCTGTATCATGAACACACACAGACTGAGGTTCTTAATCACCCTCCTCCTTCCACCCCTATACCAGCCCCCGGTCCTGGGGAAGCAGGATAGCCCCGGTGGGACCTGCTCTGGATGCCCCCTCACTCGCTAAACTCAGACAACCTTCAGATGTACAAATCAGAGCATGGAGGAGAGTTTTTCCCTGAAGTGATACGCACTTATTTTTCCTACAGTTGCTTTTATTCCTTACAATCACATTAATAAAGGTTAATCTCAAGATTAGCAGCACGCTTACGAAGGGATGAAATGGAGAAATATCCCCAAAGTGAGTTTTTGAATGCTTTGTTAGACCTTCACTATGGATAAAAACACAAGTGGAAGAACTGCAGTGGCATCTTAACTTATCTAAGTAGGCTACACAGGTGGAGACACAGGAGGGGGTGGACAGGTGGGAGGGACACCAGACGATGCGGATCGTAGAGAAGCATAAAGGGAAAAGTTGAAGCAATCCACCAGAAAGGACAGAGCGCGATGAAAGTCAGAGGAGGTGAGGGCCGAAAGACTAAATCTGGAGCATAATTCAAACGGAGAATAACTTTTACTAAGGTGAATTACCGTTCTGATAAAAGTGATTTTATCTAAAGTGATGTGGCTGTCACGCAAAGACAGCAACAACAGAATACATATTGATAAATCCCTCCTCTGTTGCTCTCCCTGAGGTTTCTCCCATTTGTTCCCCTTCAAACTGTGGGTTTTTTCTCTGGAAGTTTTTCCTTGTACGATGTGAGGGTCTAAGGATAGAGGGTGTTGTTTTTCTCATACTGATATTCTGAACAAACTGTGCTGTTGTATTTGCACTGTTTCAGTCTCAGGCTGTAGGCTATTTTTATTATATGAACAGCACTTTGGCTCGACCAAAAATCGTTTATAAATGTGCTATATAAATAAAACTTGATTTGATTTGATTTGATAAGAATGAGACAAACTAAAACAACTATCAGGAGACTTAAGGCTAATAGGATATGACAGGCCTTATAAGTAACTTCTGTCAACAAAAGGGGCATAGGAAGTACTTTGTGTATTCTCCTTACATATAATACATTGTAAGAACCACAGTATATTGAAATGAATACATATGACTCAAAGCTACAGTTAGTAAGATGTGCTATAATATCAAATATATCCATTTAATGACAAGAATGGGATCGTGGGAAAATGTCACCTTTATCCTGGCCAAAATCATTTCGATTCACAATATTATCCTAAGTGGACTAAAATAAATAGATGCGCTCAAAATAATATATTCGCGAACAAATCAAATTCATATGTAGTTCAGCCTAGTGTTCATAAGGCTCATCTAAAACTCAAAACATCTTGGCAGGTCTGTTTTCAATGTTTGCCATCTGATCAAAAAATCAATGTGGGGTCATGAGAAAGATCTATAAAGTAAAGATTAATCTAAGAGGAAGGCTTTGACTATATTTCATCTAGACCATTGTATCATTTTAAATAAACACAGATACATTTCCACAACAATTAGCCCTGATCTATTATTTTTCACTAAATGAACATACTCCCACACTGAAAGCGTTCTTCTCTTGTCTGGCTTGTACAGTGTGATGAGCGAACACACGAGAGATTTGTGATGAAACCGCCAAGCCTCCTCTGATTTGCAGATCGGCCCTCGTTCTCTAAATTACACTTTGGTGTCAGGTGGAAACTCTGGTGGGAAATCCTTAACACACAGGAAATAACACACATCTGTATGTCAACCTCACAGCCTGAGACTGAAACAGTGAACTCCTCAACGACGGTTAGACTGAAAGATTGACTCACCAATGACAGCGTACCTATTTAACGGAAATAAATACAGGTCTTAAAGGGCACACATCAACACTAGGCTTAACATCATGCTAAGTGAAGCTTTAACCTAACGTACTGTACTATAATTCCATTACTTTGACCACGCTGTACAATACAATACTGCCGGTGATGAAACAAAGGTTCATTCATGGTTTCAGTAATTAAATGATGCAGTAGTTCACAATGGCAGAGCACAGTTGATTACACATTGAATCAATATTGATCAATGCAACACAGCAGTCAGTCCTTTTTAAATATGCAGCAGCATGTCAAGCAGTGTGACCAGGAAGCACCCCCCCCACACACACACACTGCTAAGAAATGTAACCTTAAGCCACACATCAGGTGTAGATGAGTGTGTGTGTGTGTGTGTACTGTATGTGCCTGTGTTCACATGTGGTGGCGTTATTGCCGGGGCTCAAGTGTGTGTGTGTGTGTGTGTGTGTGTGTGTGTGTGTGTGTGTGTGTCTGTCTGTTTCCCTCTCTGTGCCTCATCCTCTTTCTCTCGCTCTCATAGGCCACCT